AATTTTTAGTTAAAATGTATGTCCAAACACAGTCTGAGGGAAGCTCCAGTTGTCATATTACTCCCTTCTCACATCCATAGAGATGTCATACAAAAAGGGTTTGACCTACCGTCCAATACAAATCACCACAGAATATTTTGTGGAATGGTTGTTAATTTAACCCTTTATATGATGTTCACTTACTACTATCCAATGTATTACATACCAGGAGAATTTTAATGATGTCTATCACACCTCTATCTATCTGATTTGACATCAAACTAACAATGGTCTCTGGTTCAGCATAAAACACAAATTTTAATGTGAATCTGAGCTGCTTAGAGCTTAAATTCTTATTTAGTTGAAAGCACAGGATTTTATTTCTGAATTAGTAGTTCTTTTCCCTTCTTTTACAATGCATGGATCGGATATTCAAGGAGTATCGGTATCCAACACTGGTATGTTATGGATACGACTTCTTTTTAGAAGTATCAGTGCTTCATTGCCTTTCTTTCATGATTACCCACCATTAGTTTTCAGTTGTTTCTTCATGACCTAATGATCATTCAACATTTAAACTTGTAAATCACTGTAAGTAAATTTACTTTATGCTTTATCTTCTGCTTGCTGTAGATAGGGAAACTAGTTACCTGTTATTTTCGGTACTTCATATTTCAACATAAACTTTTTCTCCCCATTTTACAGCCATTATGCCTCGTGTCTGGATTACCTTGGAAATCTCAAAGCAAACCTTCTGCTTGATATCCATTTGCATGACCATGTTGAGATGCTGTATGATGAAATCCGTCACAAAGCCCTCATCCAGTATACTCACCCGTTTGTGTCTGTTGATCTTGGGATGATGGCCAATGCTTTCAAAACAAGTGTTGCAGGGCTTGAGAAGGAGCTTGAAGCTCTAATTACTGACAACCAAATACAGGTTTTTTTTTGACCGATGACTCCACTTTCTTTGGTTTAGAGATATACACAGCTTGGTAAATCAAAATGGTTCACCATTAATGGGGAAGGATACAAGATTTATTGGTTGTCAACAATGTTATATACTTGGTGAAACAGCTAATCTAATCCTCAGGAGTAGAATCCAGGCCTCTGAAGCATGGATATGGACACAAACACCGACCCGGATATGGGACACAATGATTTCAAAAACATGACACAAGCATGGTGGGGAATGGAGGATTTTTTTTTTTTTTTTTAAATATAGATATATTTATAGCATTTGGTTGGTTTTGGTTCCTTAACCAACAAAACTGAAGGGCTTGGTTCGGTGCCTAAATTTTCCAGCAACCCTGATTGAACCGAACCTAACCACTTACACCCCTAGTTCTAGGAATTGTAGGAAGCAAGTCTCAACTTCATAACTGTGGTTAGCCTTGTGTTGCGTTATCAATGGTTTGATATGAGTTCTATATTTTTCTTAATTTCAATCCTTATGTTTTCAAATATTATAATATGATCTCCGAAATTAGCTTTAGAAAATTAAAATAAGATCCTGCGGTGTCCCAAAGCATGTACGCTGCATCCCTGCCATGTTCCTGATGTATCTAGTGAATTTGTTATTTTTAAAATGGACATGCCAAGTGGTGTGTCAGACACGTGTCCCCATGTATTCGCACTGTGCCTGTGTTTCATACGTGTTTGACATGGGTACGGCACATATGTTGAAATGTTCTTCATAGGTCTAGGCAGAGTTTTGGGTCTCATGAATAATCAAACACATGTATGCTAATGATTCATGAATAATCAAACACATGCATGCTAATGCTTATATCAATCACTTGTGTTCTTGCAGGCACGTATTGACTCCCATAACAAAATTCTCTATGCACGACATGCAGATCAGCGGAATGCCACTTTCCAGCGGGTTTTACAGACTGGCAATGAATTTGATCGGGATGTTAGGGCCATGCTGCTGAGAGCGAGTCTTATCAAGCACGATTATAACCTCAGGTCATCAAGGAAACTTTAAATTTGGTGCCGAGGAAAACTAAAATCACTATGCTTGTTTGATTAGGTTGGACTAGGAGAATCTGTGTGGTCATTTGAGCAATGAAATTTTCTGGGAAAGGAAAGGGAAAAAGAAAGAAATTGGCTCCACATGCTGGTTCTTCTTGGCCTTTTCGATTAGGTTGTGATTGTTTATATACTCGTATTGATCACAAAAGTTGTATATTTCCTTATGTTTCCCGATGTTAATTATTTTGTTTAGTGCTATGTTATTGAAAATGTTTCAAACTGGGATTACCAATTGAATATGTAAATCAAAATTTGATTGTGGTTGTTTGAGGTGAATGTGAAGATTATAATGCAGAAATTGTTCATGTTTGGCAGAAAATTAAATGGACCATTTCATGGAAATGTTTCAGGGTGTTGAAGAAATGTACGATTATTTAACTTTGTTAATCAATGTATTTAGAGCACATGTTAATAAAAAGTTATAAAATATGAAAAAGTTAGGAAGCCAGAAAATGAGAATGTACATATGCTGTAGATTTAAATTTAATGTAGATTATATTCAGAAAGAATTTTTGATGACTTGTTAAAAACTTTTTTTAGCTTCCAAGCATTGTTGATAGACTATATTTTTCATTTGAATTTTACTAATGAGTACCGAATATAAAATGATTGTATAATTTTATGAAATATGTGCTGTAAAAAATGTAAGACCTGTTCTCAAAAAAAAAAAATGTAAGACCATGTTAAGCTTTATTGGTCGTGAACAAAATTAATTTCATTTTACTTCACAATCATTTATTTAGGGATGAAAAATTACAAATCATGCATAATCAATTTTAATTACACTAATGCTGTATTTTGTTAGAGGATTTGAGGAGGGATTTGGAAAGGAAAAGGAAAAGGTGTGTGAAACTATGTGAAATTTAGGCATATTTTATTCTCATTTCATCTATCTTTTTTATTTTCCTTTCCAAATCCCTCCTCAAATCCTCCAACCAAACATAGCATAAGGGTGAGAAATCAAAGAACATTTGCAATTTTTTTGTTTTTTTTTTGAAACTCTTTTCTTCTTCCCTCCCTTAACTTCCTCCCTTATCAGACAGCTCTCCTCCACTGCTTCCCCACCCAAGCTTGCCACTGCTAGTCCTTATGCCCTCTCTAATCTCTCATCTATCTTCATCAATCTCTCCTCCTCCCACTCCCATACCATGGTGGAATCTTCAAATCCTTAACCCTGTGTTTGGTTGAGGGATTTTGGAAGAGATTTGAAAAAAAAAAAGGGAAAAGAAAAAGGTTTGTAAAACTAGTTGAAATATAAGTATGTTTTATTTACATTTCAATCACCTTTTTCATTTCTCTTTCCAAATCCCTCCTCAAATTCCCCAACCAAACACAACATAAATCTTCTCTCTCTTTCTCATTTGCAATTCTTTTTGTGTTGTGTTTGGTTAGAGGATTTGAGGAGGGATTTGAAAAGGAAATGAAAAAGGTAGGTGAAATATACACCTATATTTTATCTAATTTCACATATATTTTTCATTTCTTTTTCAAATTCCTCCCTGAATTTCTCAACCAAACAAAGCGTTGGTCTCTCAAAATAGACTAGAGTGGAAATGGGTGGGTTGAGGAAAGGAGCTGGGATGGATAGCTATATAGTGTAAGGCAGAAGAGATAACAGTGGAGGGTAGACAATTAGGTAACTATGGTTGTAACGAGTAGGGGAGAGATGCTCCACGGGACTAGATTTGTAGAGAAAATAGAAGAGTAAAAGAAAGATAGTCAAGTAAAAATAATGGACATGTTTCATTATTTTAAGAATAAATTCCACCTTTTGTAATTAAAATTGATTCTTCATTTGGAAAAATACTTGGACAGTGTGATTCTTCACTAATTTGGCACTATCAATCCACTATTAATAATATAAAATTGGCTGCGTGGATGGATGAATAGCAGTAGTATATTGGTGGAATTTATTAGTATGATTGTTCATTTTGCATTAAATTTTATTATTTTATTATTATTTTATGCTTTTTCCTAATCTGTGAAAGTAGGATTTGGTGTGTTTAGATCTCATCCCTTATCTTATTAATCATTTACAAGTTATTATTCATCTCTGAATGACTTAACAAAAATGAGTCACTCTATTACACTCCTAAAATTTCACCATACATGATTCATGATGAGGATGTTTGGTTTGAGTTTTAAAGGTAAGTTTTAGAGTAAAAATTTTAAAAAATTGTTTAGTTTGAGATTTTTTTTAAAAAAAATTCAAAACCACTTTTTCTCTCTCACACATCAATCAATCACTTTTTCTCTTTTCTCTCTCCTTCTCAATCACATTTTCTCTCACACAAGTCTATTCAATTACAACAAAATCAATCCACTATTAATAATATAAAATTGGCTGCGTGGATGGATGAATAGCAGTAGTATATTGGTGGAATTTATTAGTATGATTGTTTATTTTGCATTAAATTTTATTATTTTATTATTATTTTATGCTTTTTCCTAATCTGTGAAAGTAGGATTTGGTGTGTTTAGATCTCATCCCTTATCTTATTAATCATTTACAAGTTATTATTCATCTCTGAATGACTTAACAAAAATGAGTCACTCTGTTACACTCCTAAAATTTCACCATACATGATTCATGATGTGGATGTTTGGTTTGAGTTTTAAAGGTAAGTTTTAGAATAAAAATTTTAAAAAATTGTTTAGTTTGAGATTTTTTTTAAAAAAAATTCAAAATCATTTTTTCTCTCTCACACATCAATCAATCACTTTTTCTCTTTCCTCTCTCCTTCTCAATCACATTTTCTCTCACACAAGTCTATTCAATTACAACTAAATATCAAATTATCCCAAACTCTCAAATTTCAAAACTACTGTCAAAATATACCATCAAACAAATTTAAGAAAATAATTTTAAACTCTTTCTCTAAATTTTTTTTAAGAAACAATTTTTCCAAAAACAAACCAAACAAGCGGATATTTTCTCACACAGCCTAGCTTAGATCTTATTCTCCACTCACATTCCCAAAACACTTCTCTCTCTCTCTCTCTCTCTCTCTCTCGTACCCAAAAGCCTCGGATCTTCTTCACCGCCCCACACTTCACTCACTCCATGCACATATAGATACAACACAACACACACACACACACACACAAATATCTATATCTATGTCTATATGATCATCAACATCAGATATTGGGAATTCGTTCAAAACCAGAGATGGCGGGGCACCTGAATCTCCCCTCATCAAAGCGCAACCCGAGGCAGTGGCGCCTCCTAGATCTAGTCTCCGCCGCCTTCTTCGCCGCCGTGCTCCTCTTCTTCCTCCTCGTCTTCTCTCCCCTCGGCGACTCCCTTGCGCTCGGGACTAGGCTTCTCTCCGCTCTTCTTCCGATCCCAACAGCCGCCTCCGCCTCGTCGCCCTCGTTGAATCCTGCCAACAGCAGAGCATCGAGTCCTGCCCTTCCGACTCCGTCGATCACATGCCTTGTGAGGATCCGAGGCGCAACAGTCAGCTCAGTCGAGAAATGAATTTCTATCGAGAACGCCATTGTCCGCCACCGGAGGAGACGCCTCTTTGTTTGATCCCTCCGCCTCAAGGGTACCGCATTTCGGTTCAATGGCCGGAGAGCTTGAACAAGGTAATCATTGATAGTCTGTTTGGGTTGAGTGATTTGGAGAGAAAAATAAAAAGGAAATGAAATTATTGAGTTCTGTGGTGCTGATCACTTGTTTGGATTACTAAAGATGAGAGAAATGAGGTGAAATTGATTTCTCTAACAACAGTTTTTGAATGTCTTAGAAATTGGAGAGAATGGGAGAGAAAAGAAATGGAATGATTACTAATTTTCAATGCTTTATTTGCTATTGTACATAGTCTTGAAAATTGTTTCTTTTTTTGTATACACATTTTAATGAATATTGGAATTTTGGAGCTTGAACTTTGGAATTTAGTTTGGTTGCTAATTATTCTCATTAAAACAAAAAGAACAAGAACGCTTGTCTGGTACTTGAATTTGCAGATTCGATTTTTAATTGTATTGATGAACTTGGGTGGTGTTATTAGTGACATTGGTTGCCTTATTTATTTCGGTGAAATGAAGCTTAATACAAGCCTTAATTAGGGGCAAATTGCTTAAAAGCTAAGGCCTCTAACTCCACGAGATGCTGGGTAAAAAATCTAATAAAAATTGTGAAAATTGAGGTTTTTGGGGTGAGGGGAGTGTAGAGTTGTGAAAATTGTTGTTGTTGAGGACCTGTCTATCATCTTCAGGCATTCTCTGTTGGTGCATTTTGAATTGACATTGTCTTAGTGAAAAACACATTTGAGAAAATTTTTCTGGATTCCTTTTGTTTGAGCAGCCACATCCTGAGCTGTGATAGTTAAGGTGAGAGTATAGATGTAAATGAACTAACATGAGTTGCCTACTGAATTGCACATTTTCAGTGTTTTTGTTAACTTGTTATTATTACTATTTTCGGTTAAAAGAGGTTGTCTGAGATAGTCCCACTACTCCCCTGGCACTGACATGTGACACGGACATGGGTTCATCCTGTCTCATAAATATTTCCAAGCCTAAGCTTTTTGTCACTGCTCTGACTAACCTTGTTCATGACTACTACGTTTGAGCCAATTGTTTTTTCATTTGATCGAATTGTTGTTTTCCCCTTATGTGAGTTTAAACCTTCATAATGTAACTTACAAATCCTTATTCAGTGATAATGATACAGTACAAGAATGTAGACACCCTTATTTATCCTGCTGGTGTCATAATACCAGAATGCTTGAAAAAACATGTTTCCTGGCACTCCCAGAAATCATTCTGAAAAATCCTTTAGGTTTTTGCTTTCAGATGAACAAACCTCAAGTTTATATACTATAATATCAGTGCCTATAAGTATTGGGATTCTTGAAATATTTCCTTTTTTTGGGGGGGCAGATATGGCATAGTAACATGCCACACAACAAGATAGCAGACAGGAAGGGCCATCAAGGATGGATGAAAAAGGAAGGACCACACTTTATTTTTCCTGGTGGTGGTACAATGTTCCCAGATGGAGCTATACAATACATTGACAAACTCAAACAGTATATTCCAATTGCTGGTGGAGTTCTGAGGACAGCTCTTGATATGGGATGTGGGGTAGGAACTGTGATCCTGTGTTTCATTGATCCCTAGTTGATAATTGTACCTTTTCGAAATCCATATAATTCCATGCCCTTGCAGGTTGCCAGCTTTGGTGGGTACCTGTTAGCTGAAGACATGCTGACCCTCTCCTTTGCTCCAAGAGATTCACACAAATCGCAAATACAGTTTGCATTAGAAAGAGGAATACCAGCATTTGTTGCAATGCTTGGTACTCGCAGACTTCCATTTCCTGCTTTCTCATTTGACCTGGTGCACTGCTCTCGATGTTTGATCCCTTTTACAGCATATAGTAAGTTCTCTTGTGGCCTTATTGTATACTTCAGTTACCTATTGCATTAGTCCTCATTATTAAGATTGCCTTTCTTTGCAGATGCAACATATTTCATAGAAGTTGATCGGTTACTTCGCCCAGGAGGGTACATAGTTATCTCTGGTCCCCCTGTACAGTGGCCTAAACAAGATAAGGAATGGGCAGATCTCCAGTCAGTGGCTAGAGCATTGTGTTATGAACTGATTGCAGTTGATGGAAACACTGTCATCTGGAAAAAGCCTATAGGGGACTCGTGTCTACCAAACCAAAATGAATTTGGGCTTGAATTGTGTGACGAATCCTTTGACCCTAGTTATGGATGGTAATTTCCTCTCAGTACGTTCTTATTTTTCATTATTTTTCTCTTTTTATTTTCTTTTAAATTTGTATCAGAATGCTTGATAATGAAAAGATCATTCCTTTATTCCTCATTTGATTATATTCTTTAGCTGCTTTATATACTATTGAGTGACCTGGGGGTCTTAGTTGCCTTAACATTGCAGCACCTGATTCGACAATACCACTGTTGAATAAAACTGATCAAAAGAACCAGTTGGATTTATGCTGATTCTGAGCTGGTTTCCTTGGCAGGTACTTCAAGTTAAAGAAATGTGTTACAAGGACATCTTCTGTCAAAGCAGAATGTGCTGTTGGGACGATTCCGAAGTGGCCGGAGAGGCTAACAAAAACTCCTTCAAGGGCCAACCTTATGAAAAATGGAAATGACGTGTTTGATGCTGACACCCGACGTTGGGCAAGGAGAGTTGCGTTTTATAAAACTGCTTTAAACTTGAAGCTGGGGACTCCAGCTATACGAAATGTCATGGACATGAATGCATTTTTTGGAAGCTTTGCTGCTGCACTATTATCTGATCCTGTGTGGGTGATGAATGTTGTTCCTGCACGCAAGCCTTCAACTCTTGATGTCATTTACGACAGAGGCCTTATTGGAGTTTACCATGATTGGTTAGTTCTTTTGGCATGTCTACTTTCCTTCTAAATAAAAATGTGGGCAAGGGTGATGTGAATTGTTTACATCCCTATAAAGGCTATTCTTATGCCTTGTTGGAGAAGGTGCTTATGAAAAAAAAAAAAAACCTTTGTTGGTGTGGGCATTGATAGATCTTTTGTGTCAGTTGCTTGATTGGATTATCATTTTATGCTAGTACTCCACTGATTATTGTAAGATAAGAATGTCTAATCAATAACTAATCTAGTTTTTATTTTATTTTATTATATATATATATATTTGTTCTTTAGGTAACAAACAACAGTCAGTCTACACAAAGAAAACTGACTTGCCCATAAAACTGAATCATTATCACTGTATCCAAAACTGATGCAAAAATAGCTAAGAAAAATCTACAAGAGTCATTGATATAACTAGGATATACATGTGAAGTGAATAAAAATCGAAACTAGGACAATATGGGTGTTCATGGGTCGGTTTGGTTCGGTTTGACACCAAATTTGGAACCAGCCCAATCATGATCGGTTCCAATTACAGCTCTGGATGTATAAAGGAACTCACAGACAAGTGTTAACTCTCAATAACTAATCGTAGTTGATAGGGTAAATAATCCTTTATGTCAACTGCTGCCCGGACCCTCACTTTCTTGTATCTTCCTATCCCTCAACTTCTTGTGAACCTTTTCAAGCCTGAGTTATTAAGAGTATGATATTGTTTGGATCCATTTCAATCTGTAGCTGGATTTTTTTTTTACCTACTGAATTTTTATAAATCACGGATGAAAGTGGTAAGAGTTACAGCCTTCTTAAGCCAAAAGAAATGCGGGAGAGGGGGTGGAACTTTCCTCGTTATGAAGCTAAATGATGTGGAGTATAAAAAGCTCAAGGAATGCTAAATTAAAAAAAGTAATGATATTTGGACGTTGGTATGATGTCAAAGAGAAATTGATAGGAATCTTATATAATTATATTTCTAGTATTATTAGTCTTATTTTATAATTATATTTATGTTTTCTAGGATTTTAAGCTTAGGGTTATTTTGGTAATTTGGAGAACTTCTGAATATTGGGTGTGTGGATCGTCCATGGGTTGTCTTATGGGTCAAGTTATTTAATTAGTCTTTGTTTTTGTTTCTTATTTAGTATTAGATTAGTTTTGGAAGTCAAAAATATTATAATAGTTTCCTTTTTTGGCTATAGTTGGTTTAAGAAGTCTCTTAGTTTTATATAAAGTCATGTAATGCTTATAATTTAATAGAGTTAATATTTTAGAGAATTTAAAAAATAACGCCTAATTGGTACACATTAATGTGTATTTGGGAGGGAAAAGATTGAGTACACATCTAACATTTGACATAATGCACAGAATAATGGTTCCAAGACTTGAACCATAATGTCAAGGTTATTAGGCCAAGTCTTAACTATTGAGAAGTGAAGATTGAGAATCAAGAACTACCTAAGAGTGAACAATTTCGTTATTTTTGATCGATTATCACAACGACTAGGGAGATTGGAGAGGATGTGGTTCGCAGGATTAAGGCATGGTGGCTTAAATGGAAGAGTGAATTTGGAGTACTGTGCTATAAATGAGTATTCATTAGATTAAAAGGGAAGTTCTATAGATTGACTATTAAACCAACGATGTTGTATGAGACGAAATGTTGGGTAACTAAGAAACAACATGTAGATAAGATGAGTGTTGCTAAGATGAAGATGCTAAGGTGGATGTGTGGCAAGATTAGAAAAGACAAAGATAGGAATGAGTATATTTGAGAATGGGTAGGAGTAGTATCGATAAAAGATAAGTTGAGAGAGAGAATAGATTTTTGATAGTTTGGTCATATACAACGAAGATCAACAAAGGCAGTAGTGAAGAGATGCGACACAGTGACGGTAGATGGTAATGTTAGGAGAAGGGGTAGACTTAGGCCTCGTTTGGCAAGTGATTTTTTTAGCCAAAAAGTCGCTAAAAAAATCAAAAAGCCAACAACCCATACCAAAAAATCAAAAATTCTCTTCTCTCTATTTTTTGCACATCTTTTCGTAAAAAGTCAAAAAGTCATCCCAAACATCCTAGTTTTTTTTAGCTCATATTTTAGCCAAATAGCCAAAAAATTACTAAATTAGCATGTTTCCAAACGAGGCCTTAGATTAACGTGGACTAGTGTAATAAATAGATGTATGAATCTTTTTAATTTGACTAACAAAATGGCCTTAGATAGAGTTGAGTGGAGTAAAAGGATTCACGCAGTCGACCCCATTTGATGGGATTTAAGGCTTGGTTTGGTTTGGTTTGATTTGATTTGGTATTTTAGAGAATTTCAAGAGTTTTTGAAGCTTATTTATGGATTGTGTGGAACAATCAAACCTTAGGTGTGCTGCTTAAGAGATTCTTCTCCTTATTTTCCTCTTGTATTTTCTGCACTTTTTAACACCCCAAACACTATTCACGCATACTGTTTACAGCCCCTAAAACAGTTCCCTAAACAGTGTCAAAATCCCTTCTTTTCATGCTTAAACTCTTACCCATTATTTACCCTAAACAAACCCTACTTGCCCCCTATACTTTTATTGTAATTTCAACCATAAAATCCAATTAAAATCAGCCCCAAAAGACCAGATTTGTTGCTGCCCTGATAGTCCTACATCACTAAATATATTCCTTTATTATGTTTATGTTCCCTGCTCCATTGCAGCATTTTTCTTGTAGCTGTAATGTATTTACCACTTAGAAAATATGGCTAATCTGTGGACGAAATTATTACTGATGAGCTAATGTTTATGATTAATGCTGACAGGTGTGAGCCATTCTCTACATATCCTCGGACATATGATCTCATCCACGTATCTGCCATCGAGTCGCTTATCAAAGATCCAGGCTCTGGAAAGAGAAGGTAGGTTTATTCTTGGTCACAATCTGTATTGATACATCAACTTTCTCTTATTTTATTTTTCTTTTTAAAATATCTGTCGTGGATTAATGGAATTTGAGTCCTAGATATGTTATGCTCCTATTTTATTCTATAATGTGGAGAAGTTTTAGATTCATGCTTTCACATTTGTTTTAAGTTTTAGGTTTAGTACCTATTTATTCTATAATATTTTGATGCTTAGTCAAAATATTCTATAATAGTTTCAGAATATTTATTCTGAGTTAGTCATGTCAGATTTTGATGCTTGTATCCATACTACGCAACATAATTTCTTAATGTACTTTCATTTGTCAACAAGAGTACAATTTCTTGATCATTGTGTGACGCAATCTGGATTATCTGTTTATACTTCATTTCAGGTGTAACCTTGTGGATTTGATGGTGGAGATTGATAGAATGCTGCGTCCGGAAGGAACAGTGGTGATTAGGGATTCCCCCGAAGTGATTGACAAAGTGGGTCGCATTGCTCATGCCATTAGATGGACTTCCACCGTCCACAAGAAGGAACCCAATTCTCACGGGAGAGAGAAAATACTTGTGGCAACAAAAAATTTTTGGAAGTTGCCTTCAACTTAACACTGACGCATCTTTTTCTTCTTTGTAATGTAGGTATCTTTCTAGTTCCTTTAATTCCTTATTTAAAGCTAAGGTGTCATTTTGTGTAGTTATTATGCCAGAATACTCATACCACCAGCAATGATAGTCTTCTTGATTTTTTTAGGTTCAATTTTGAGATAATGTTGCTCATCTTAGCTAAATCAAAGGCATTGCTGCATTCCACGTATTTGTTGTTTTCTTCGTCGTTACATTATCGTGTTTTGTTATTTCAATCTTGAACAAGTTTCAACTCCGCGAGATAGATGAGTTACATCGTGTGCTATAGCTAAGAAAATACATTGTATGATGATAGCTTTGAATCTCATAATGATATTACAAAAATATAATGTTTTATTATTTTTTTATTTTGAGTAACAAAGTCTGCTAATCATTTATTATTGCATACCGTGTTCTGTTTTGACTTACAGCTGCATATCTTGCAAGTCTTGGCGTAAAACTTAGCATGGAAAATAACTGCATAACATGTATGAAAATTTTCATTGTATATTTGTAGCTAGAAATAGTTTGAGGAAAAATCCTTGGGTAAAAATTGCTACCTAAGAAGTACGGATATTTCTAAGAAGATAAGTGTGTTGTGTCTGAGAAGATAGTGTGTTGTGTCTGACATCTAGTCGGATACCAATATGAATATACTTATCATTGAAATTGGGGAGCTTCTATTTTCATATGTCACATAATCTTAGTTCACACAATTTATGAATTTTTGCTTTCGAAAATTTAATTTTATTCGGAAGTTGGTTTCTAAACCCCAAAAAAGTAATTGTATTGAGAGAAAATCATGTGTTAGAAATAGAAGCTCCCCTGAATTTGACACTCCTTCCCACACAATATTTTGACTATTTTACCACATGAATTAATTTTCATTTACCGTAAGAACTAACCCAACTTATTACCAATAAGATCATATTTATCAATATTTTTGGGTATATGATATATCATTCTCAGAACCAATCAGACTAGTGTTATTATAGGGTAAATTTTGCTTTATCCCTTCTGCTTTAGCCCATGAGTGGATTGTCTCTTCTCATTTAAAAATAGTCACATAATTTCGTAGTGGTTTGTGACCTGAAGTGAACTATTAAATATTTTGTTAACAAGTGTAAAACACGTGTTAAATATAAGGAGTTTATATGCTTATTTTTAAATTTCAAAAGAATAAATCGCATATGAAATAAAATACAATGGGTTAAAGTATATATTTTTTTTCAAACAAATGACGAAAATATTTGTAGTTTACATATTCAAGTTATTTATATACAATCCTTTTTATTAAATTATTAACGGAATTAATGGTGTATTTCAGTTCAAAAGACAAAAAATAAAAAAAAAACAAAAACTTTGTATTTATTTCTAAACAAGGGGGTAATTCTCATGTAGGCCAAATCACGAGGGGTAATGCAGAGAGACCATTTCAAGACAACCAACAACATCATGATTTGGTCCATCACAAACTCATTTACTATGTTAGTTGAATTGTTCTCTTCTCAAGTTGCACTGTCAAGATCTCCAACTGTTTTTTTATTTTTTTCATTGTCCTGTTCATAGTCTAAGTCATGGGTTTCAAAACTGTTGGTTTGAAAATCGAACCGAATTGGTGGAGTCGATCAGTTGAATCATTAATCAGTCAGAATTTTAGTCTGGATGTACTCTCTAAATCGTTCGAAGTTAAAAACCGGCCTATTTAAAGAGAATCGGGAAAACCAACGGTTGAACTGGCGAACCGGTCAACCAGGAGTTGGTTCGCCAGATCGTTGAAATTGGAAATTTTGATTTCTTCTATTTCATCTTTTTTTATTCTCTCTTTCTTTTCTTTCTTTCTTATTATTTATATAAGAATATAAGAAAATTTTAATTGGAAACTCTCTTTCAAGGGTCTCTTATTGTGAAGAATCCCATTAAAAGCTTGAAATTATTATGAAAGTCTCTACTTATTTATAATAAAAAAAAAATTGTCAAAAAAACTCAAGAAATTCATGTGGGATTCAATCAAATGTATTGGAGAGAGACTTGAAATTTTGATATTCCTTCAAAAATTTTGCTCTTCTTTCAATTAAATTATTTGAATTAAAATCATATAGAGGGAATATTGAATATTTGATTTCCTCTTCTAAAATTAAAAAATTAATAATATTTTAAAATATATTATTATATTTTTCGATAAAAAAAATTATAAGGAAAAATATTTAAGATAATTTAATATTTTTAATATTTTTAATTTTATTATTTTTATTTTTATTTAAATATAATTTTAATATATTTATTACATCACGGTTCGATTCCGGTTTGATTGAACCAGTGACCCATCCACCCTATCTCTTTTTCGATTTCCTCACCGGTCTAATTTCTTAAAACATTGGTCTAAGTCATACCCAACTTGCATTTATCTTATTGTGCATCCTCAGTCTTCTTTCAACTTGAAAGAGGCTATCCATATTAGTCAAGTCTAACCTTAGAACGAAATTAAGATTGAAGTTGTGGTAAAGTTACGTCGTTTCTTCATGAGACACCACATTTTTTATAACTCTGTCGATTGAATGATGAAAAATGCTTGGTGACCTGAATTTATGTGATTTGAGTGGTTCAAATGTGTTAAAACAATGTCATTTTACATCTAAAATAACGTCGTTTTGAAACATTCGAATCATTCGAGTCAAGAAAATTCGAGTCTCCCGTACTATTCTAGTATTGTTGTTGGATGATTTCTACCACTCTGACTGTATGGGGTCCATCCATTCTGCAATGTTTGAACACGAAATATTAATCACGTTCCCTGCACCGAAGTTAGACTTAAATCAATATCTGTTTGGCTGTGTTTTTATTTTGTTTTTATTAGGAAAATTACTTGGAATGAAAATGAAAGGTTGAGATTCAAATAGTCTAATATGGAATTTATGAAAGGTTGAGATTCGAATAGTTGTTTTTGCATAAGAAAAGAGCATAAACTTCAAAATAAAATCTAGGTAAAATTCAAATTTTTGGTATTTATTAAAAAATGGGTTGCTTTGAGGAATTTTTTTTTTGTTGATAATTTCAAAAGTAGTTTGTTATATGTTTCCAAAAATTAAAATAAAAAGTAAAACCAAACGGGAAAAAACTTACACTAACATTGAATGGTAACATCAACAATGGAATTGGTGGGGAGAAATTTTATGAACTTGGAAGTCATCTAAATAACTTTTACTTGTAGCATTTTCTCATTTTCTCTCACTATAATTTTTTTTTATTTAAAAAGAAAGTAAATTATAATCACATTCTCTTTGATTTGAAAAAAAAAATACAATCAGTTCCACCCTTTCAATATAATTATACTGACTTCTCTTTTAGTATGATTAAAGTGTCAGAAACTACTATAGATAATTGGTAGACAGTGAAATAAATAAAAATAAATATATATTATAATAGAAAAGAGATAATAACATTATTTTTTATTCATACAACTAACAAATTATTAATAAAAAAAGGTCTAACTGTTATGTGAATTAAAGTCAAAATGGAGACCTATACAAAAAGTGTATGAAGAATTATATTTTTTTCAAATATCAAGAGAAAGTGCCTATAATTTTTCGTGAGGGGAAAGTGCCATACAAGTATTAGCTACTGTTTTAAGAAAAAAACAATGTAAAGTTTTATAACACTTGGCCGATTTCACACCGCTCCTTATAAATTAATGATTTAAATCACTTTTTAGGAAAATGTTAAAAATTATCTTTTTAATTCATTTTGAATCACATCATCTCTCATATTTTTTATATATTTTTTTAAAAAATATTAAAATATCAACTTTTAACTATCTTCTTAAAACAACCTTCAATAAACTTGAAGTGGGCCACATCAACTAAAATTGAATTTTTCGATCAAAAAATTAAACTGGAGATGAGCCACGTGCTTTTTGCTTGAACCACCAGTTCAAGCTACTTCAAAGCTTGGTTTGTGATTTGTCTTTTTTAATGACTTTTTTTTTTCCTTTTTTTAAGATGAAAAAAAATTGAGACATTTACACACAAATCATAATTTATGAACTTATATTTCATTTACTCCAAGTTTGGGGACTTCAAAAAAAGCCAAAAAGCCAAAAAGTTACTCAAAAAGTTAAAAAGTTAACACTATTCACCAAAAGTCAACAATTACGGCTGCACAACTCCCAATTCAAATTTTCCTCTACAAACCAATTTTTACAATTTTTTATTACACATTTTTCAATAAAAAGTCAAAAAGTTAACCCAAACATCCATATTTTCAATCTCAATTTTTTAGTCCAAAAAGACAAAAAGTGCACTTATTT